TTGATTGTTCAATCTGATGATTCATCTCACACGGAGCATGCCGTGACTGTAACTGTCAGTTTCATGTTATCTCTCTAATATAGACTTTACAAAGATGGTTGGTTTTACCTCATAATTAATCCTACACGAAATATGCCGTGACTGAGCTGTCAGCGGCATGTCTCATTTGTGATATCGAAATTGAACTGTCCACGGGCTAAATTGTTCAATACGAAGGATAAGAATAAGAATATCTTTATTGTAATTAAATACTGTACAATGGTACAATAAACGTCAGAGGAAGTACAATGTTTTGAGAATTGTGTATTGTTGAGAACTAGTATATTTATAAAAACTAAATTACGAGAAGACTATATATTAAAGATTTGAAAACCTAAAACCTCCAAAAAATAGATACAACTGTCAAGAAGTCATTCGGATCAAAAAGTTTGCTCTCGAAACATTACAGGCAGTTTATTAATAAGTTTTATTAGTAGGAACTTAAGGCTATTACTAGATTTCGATGATCTTAATTTCTGAATATCTAGCTGGTCTATTTAGATTATAATAACTGTGCAATTCATTACGTTTTGTGAATAAGGATAGATTTTTTTAAACAGATAATGATTTTTTTGGGTGTTAGGGTCATTTTAATGTTTTCATATATAAAATACATAAACATAATGACATAAAGTTTGACAAAGAGAAGTTTGCTGGTCGTTCTGCGTGGAATAAAAAAATTATTCATAGTGTCTTTTTTGCCATGGGAAGACCTCTTTATCCACTTATAACTCAGTATGAACTTTTTTCTGAAGAATAATTCTTACCTTTTCAGTGCACCCTCAGAAAATGAAATGTTCTTTATTCAAAATGTAGGAAATAACGCCCTGATTCTGAAAATAGTAGTTTTGTTTCACGCAAAACGTCGGAAGACCACGGAAAAGCGGAAAAACAAAAAAAAAATACTTTTTTACGCAGAAATCGGTCATGTGGTGTACTCAAATTAAATTGTAGAGCAAACTGAACAAGAACATACAAGAATTTATAGACCTGATGGATATTAATGGAGATATAGCCGGAAAAGCGTCAGACAACGGAAAAACAACTAAGCTACGACTGGAAAAGCGTTGGTTTGGTTATGTTCGGATGTAACCAAACCTACCCTAACCTAACCTAACCGAACCCAACATAACCTAACCAACGCTTTTCCGGTCGTAGCTTAGTTATTTTTCCGTTGTCTGACGCTTTTCTGGCTATATCCATCAGGTAACCTAGCCGTTTATGTTGGGTTCGTGTAGGTTAGGTTGGAGTAGGCTAGGATGGGTTAGGTTAGGTTGGGTTTGGTTAGGTTAGGTTAGATTAGGTAACCAATGCTATTGATAAAATTGTAGCATTTTATATTTGGTATTTTTTGTCACTCTTTAAAAACAAATTCAAGTTAGTATTTTTCTTTTTTTTATCTCTGCTCAGTCATGAAAGATTCAAACATGTTAGTTCAATTTTGTCAGTTAAAACAGAAATTTAAATATTTGCAAGATCCTGTAAAAAAAAGAGAAGACAATTTGATTGGCCAGGGTAACTCAGTGATTGTTTGAAGCACATGGTCTTCAGCCAATCACAGGGTTGCCTTGGTCAGACAAACTTAATCACCCTTCTTGTCCGGCCTCAGTTGTGCAAAACCAGTTCATAAGTAAAGTTTAGTTTGTTAGTTCTTTTGGTCAGTTACCCCACGTTTTGGGTAAGTCTCTTAAAAATTTTAAATTTAGTTAGTTTTATTTTAGATATGTTAACAGATGTCCTCTCTTTTTCAGATTTTGATTAAATCTCAATTCACAAAGATTCTAATTAATTTTATTTCTTTTAGGGCTCATGATTAAGAAGCAACTTAAAAATTTAAATAAAGTCAAGATTTGTTTAAGTATAGTATATCAAGAAGGAAATTTTAAAAGATTGAAACTTAATATAATTTTGATGAGTAGAGCTTATTTTCAAGAATTTAAGTTGAATGTTATTATGAAAAAAAAATGAAGAGTTTAAAATAAAAGTTTTGTTCAATCATTTTCAAGAGGATATTATCTTTACCTACTTTTGGCATTTAAACAAATTTTAAACAAGTTAAACATTTTAAACAAAGTCAAGACATTAAAATATATTAATACATAAACTAGATCATGTGGGCCTAGTACGCTACAAAATAACCTAACCTAATCCAACCCAACCTAACCTAACCGAAACTATCATTTTCAGAATCAGATCGTTATTTCCTACATGCTGAAAAAAGAAAATTTTATTTTACGAGGGTGCACTGGGAAGGTAAGGATTACCGAATTTTAAACCATACTGTTTATTCAAATCACGCTACGAACTTTTTGTCAATTTCAGTGTTTAATTTCCAATTTCGCAATGAACTTCAAAGTATTAAAAATATATATTATTGATTGCATACTAAAAACTTATGATTTCTGGTATGAAATATGTACCTCATCGAGTTTATATTCTGTATAATAGCTTACCATGAGAAAAAAATCAATACGAAAACCAAGCCAAATCCACTTTCACAAACGTCACCTAATCAATTCTATCCAAACCCAACGTGTCTAGACTCAACAACTTTGGTCAATCTAATAGATAAATGTTATTTAGTTGTATTTGAAAACCCAATCCGGATCCAGCGGTAGATGTACTTGTAACTTAACATAATGAACAACTATTATTTAGGTGCAGGCATTGAACTTAACTAACATTTAGACACTTTGCAAAGACTATAGATTATACAATGCTTGAACATAGACAACTAGCATAGTGTTTGTTTATTTGCATGAATGAAAGGAATTTGATATTTTCCTCTGTTTTCCAAATAAAGCGGCTATTTTTAACTGACATGTTTTTACATTTGTGGAACAAAACAGTCTAGACTGTGATCTTGCTGATGTCTAACGTAGGCGTGTTGTTAAGTCACATCATTAATAGCCCTAATGACCAGAATCTACGTCGCTCAGATTTGACCATAATCACTATAATCATTCGACTAACAAGACAACCAAACCGTTATGCTGGTGTTAAGATTAACTAACAAGTCCATAACGAGATATTTGACAAAAGCCTAGCGTTAGACCCGGACTAATTTACGAAGAACTACAGTTTGATAGTTTCACTAGATTACAATTGCATAAATCTAGCAATAAGCTGACATAATGTAGTCATAACTAACTGTATTTGACGATTTCAAATTCCAATTGTGTAATTTCCGCACATTTTATTTTAAATGTATTGTAAAAAAAGTTTATCAACTAGTTTGCATGGTCAACCACTATTATTCTTGTACTTATTTATAGAATGATAATTATTAGCATCTCAAGAATCGCGACTTAGGCACCAATAAACTTATACAATGTATTAAGAATGTTAAGGAAATTGGCTTTACGCAAATATTTCAACAATATACGAAAATCTTGTTCTGTTCACTGTAGAAAGATGCAATGTACTAAGAAACAATTACCATTTTTGTGCAAGTATCTAAGCTAATAGTCATAGGAAAGAAAAAACTTTTAAAATATAAATACAACTCAAAAACAAAGTTATGTTTTTTACCTGATTTAAGTTTCCAGGGAATTGAAAGTCTATTCTGTAATAATTTAATCAAATTCAAGCTTCGTTGTAGAATGAGGTATTCTGATGTTATTACGTAGCTGTCAAAGGGAATATTTTACTTGTTTCTCATATTTACCAATATATTTATGTCCTTAAAGTCATTTTCTAGACATTTAGCAAGACAAAAGTAGAAAAGTAGATATTTTGTACTATAATAAAACTAGAAAAGCTCCACATACCAACATTAATTATAACCTAATAATTAATTATCCTATTTTATTTCAAAACAACTTTAACTTTACAACTTCTTGATGTCAAATGATTATTTTATTTTACCATAAAGCTACAGAAAAGTTCCTTGCTTGGAGAAATAAACTAAGAAATTAACAGTGATTCATTTACTTCGATGAAATTTTAGTAAACAGGTTTATAGAAATAACTTGCTCCTTTCTAGCTAAATGGAATTTTACTTCCATTTTATTGCCAAATTGATTTTCAGCCTAAACACGAACGGTAAAAATTTACTTAATGGTTTTAGTTGGTACCGTTTCACAGTATTTTAGGGACGGTTTATAGAATAATGGTTAATATTTAATAAGAAAAATGTCTTATGGGTCGTAATTTTACATAAGAAATCTAATACGTGGATTTATCATTGTACTTTCGACAAATAACAATAAAAGAAAAGATACTAGGTTTACTAAAGTAATAAACAGCATTCGTAACAAACAGCTAAAAAACAAATAAATAAGAGAGCAAACTATAATGGAAATTTTAAAAACGATTTGAAGAAATTAAACATTTTATGTAAAAACTACTTATAAAAGTTTTGATAAGACAATTTATTTACGACTTTCAATGTTTTCAAAGGAAGCTCTTTTGTAAATAGTAAGTGAAATGTAAAGAGAAGTATGAAAGATATTAGAAAAGTTTCGATAAGGGCCAAGTCGTAGAAAGTTTCTACAATACTTGAGAGGCCGAAAAATCGCTCTTTCTAGAAATGTACTTTCACAAATATTGATCTTTTAAGTAAAAATCATATTGATCTAATACATTTTATGATTTAAGCAACCAATAAATACTACTTCTAGTGTACTTTAAATGTTCGTATATCATTATTGAACGCTAAAAATTGTCTTTCATCCAGCATATTACAGCACTTTACACATTACAGCATATTAAAACTGATACCGCTCTTGTAACATCATTTTACAAACTATGTAATTGTCTTGTGTGTATTTGTGTAAAAGTTAAAATATTTATTATGAGGTTGGAGGTCACTTTAACCTATGACACGCTTATTCACATGGGTCTCTACGGGAAGTATCAAGCAAGGGATCAGTAAGTAAAGTACAAGAACTTATCAATAGTAGTGACAACCTGACGCAGCCCCTAAATATGAGTGCTTTGGTGTGAGACGTGGTGAGTCGATGGGTGAGTCTGACGTGTTACCAACTGAGAGACGTGGTAAGTCGATGAGTGAGTCTGACGTGTTACCAACTGAGAGACGTGGTGAGTCGATAGGTGAGTCTGACGTGTTACCAACTGAGACACGTGGTAAGTCGATGGGTGAGTCTGACGTGGTACCAACTGAGAGACGTGGTGAGTCGATAGGTGAGTCTGACGTGTTACCAACTGAGAGACGTGGTGAGTCGATAGGTAAGTCTGACGTGTTACCAACTGAGAGACGTGGTGAGTCGATAGGTGATTCTGACGTGTTACCAACTGAGAGACGTGGTGAGTCGATAGGTGAGTCTGACGTGTTACCGACTGAGAGACGTGGTGAGTCGATGGGTGAGTCTGGCGTGTTACCAACTGAGAGACGTGGCGAGTCGATAGGTGAGTCTGACGTGGTACCAACTGAGAGACGTGGTGAGTCGATAGGTGAGTCTGACGTGGTACCAACTGAGAGACGTGGTGTGTCGATGGGTGAGTCTGGCGTGTTACCAACTGAGAGACGTGGCGAGTCGATGGGTGAGTCTGACGTGTTACCAACTGAGAGACGTGGCGAGTCGATGAGTGAGTCTGACGTGGTACCAACTGAGAGACGTGGCGAGTCGATGGGTGAGTCTGACGTGGTACCAACTGAGAGACGTGGTGAGTCGATAGGTGAGTCTGACGTGGTACCAACTGAGAGACGTGGTGAGTCGATAGGTGAGTCTGACGTGTTACCAACTGAGAGACGTGGCGAGTCGATGGGTGAGTCTGACGTGGTACCAACTGAGAGACGTGGCGAGTCGATGGGTGAGTCTGACGTGGTACCAACTGAGAGACGTGGTGAGTCGATGGGCGAGTCTGACGTTTACCAAATGAGTGACTAATCATATAACATAAATCACAAAATATATACTTATTACCTATTAAAATACAGGGTGTTAAAGTTTGCAACTTCACTTACATAATACATAAGTGCCGAGTATCCTTTATTGTTATGAAGTACCAAATAATAACCGTTATAATATAAAATAGTATACGAAATTATGTATTTTTTCCAAATAAATGAATCGATCCCAAAACGGACTGTGCTATTAATAGTTGCGAGGATAAAAATTTTATATGAATTCATTTTTATTTTCAATAAAAATATATTTATACAAATACTTATATATAGTGTTTCTCAAAATAATATATAACATTTATAATCATCCCCTTGAAACAGAGTTTCCATTATGTTCTACTTTTTAACTTTAAAACTCAAAAGAACTACAGGCATTTCAGTAATGATCCAATGTATATGTTAGAAATAAAATACATTAAAACATTAAAATTAATTGAAACGCATTACATTTTTAATTTGCTTTCAAAATGCTAACTGTCTTTATATGTAAGATTTGGAAAGCAATGAAGAAGTTAGTCTGGAAACATTTACCAAAAAGTAGGACCCATTTACGAAATGTACTACATTTACGTTTTTACAACGTGGGAAGCAAGAAGGGAGTGCAGGATCCTTTAAGTCTGGTAACAATTTATGACTGCATTTAGCAATGTTTTTCTCACATTTACGGTTAAACGGGGATTCTATAAATCTAGAATTGAAAAACACTTCGCAGCATCTTTTGGTGGAAACAACAGCTCAATATTTATTTTTTAGAAGAATAATATTGTTTCGCAAAGATATTTCTAGTTTTTTATTGACAGGTTTCTACTTTGACAGTTTATTATTTTTATTATGAGGCACTAATATAAATCCACTAAGACATATTTTTAATCCTGACTTTTTTACCATTGCTCCTTTAAGATGGTATTTTTCATTAGTAGAAGTACATACATCTTATACAGATTGTGAACTACAATAACACTAAAATATTATCAATGTGAAAAACAATTTGTAATGAATACTTACATTTTTTAAACCTACTACACTCACTCTAAAATAATCAACATGTTTATTGTACTAAAATATATTTTAAAGTTGATGGTGAGATTGTAGGTGATACGAATATGACATCAACGCCTAAAAATTGTGGTTAATATAAAAAAATTGAGATTATAATTAATTATGATATTTAATATAACCTAATCACAATAATGTATAAACTTGATTGGGTAGAGTAAACTACGTTGTCTGTGAATCAAAATTACCCCAGCTAAATATTGGTCCAACCACTGCTCGACATAAACCGATTGAAAATATGTACGAACTTGGTAGTTTTTCACACACAAGTGGTCAGGTATATTGAATAAGCCATCCTTTATTCTATATGCAGTCCTTTGAAATTGTAGGATTTGAATATGTTCAGAACAGCGTGAGGGAATCTTCCTGAAAATATGAACGAACTTGGTAGTTTTTCACACACAAGTGGTCAGGTATATTGAATAAGCCATCCTCTATTCTATATGCAGTCCTTTGAAATTGTAGGATTTGAATGTGCTCAGAACAGCGTGAGGGAATCTTCCTGAAAATATGTACAAACTTGGTAGTTTTTCACACACATGTGGTCAGGTAAATTGAATAAGCCATCCTTTATTCTATATGCAGTCCTTTGAAATTGTAGGATTCGAATATGTTCAGAACAGCGTGAGGGAATCTCCCTGAAAATATTTACGCCAAAGGTTCCTTTTTGAGGTTTTTTGAGCCAAAGTTCAACCACCAGTATTTTTTATCCCTGTACTTGATTTGTAACAAAGACAAATGCATACCGGATTATAAAATGGGCTATTTTCCATCGGCTTAACTAATTCAGAATCATCAAGGAAATCGTTATAGTTAATAATAAAAAATACGCGAACACTTGTTATAGTTAACATCGACTTTCCCTACAAAATGACATGATTTGTGGTTTATAAAAAATAAATCTTGATTCTACAGCATCCCAATCACCAGTGGATCCATTCAATTTTATTTTGTTCTTCAATAGTTTAAACTATATAATTTAATCTAAAGTATTGTATTGGTACAAAATTTGTTTAAATTTGGCACTTAAAAAAAAAATACATTCCATCGTTTTTTTTTTTTTTAACTAAGTAATTGGCGATAAAATATATTATTTTACAATCTAATAATTTTCGACACAAAATTAAGATTAAACTTAAAAAACACGTACATTGAATGGCATTCCAATCGAGATTTTTCTCACAAAAGCACAAGCTACCCACAATAAATTGGAACTCGTAGGCCTGCCTTTTCACGATGTAAAATACAAAGCAAACTTACTTTGCAACACAAAACGCCGTCTGTTGGAAATGTCAAATGTGTCTGACAATTCTTGAAATAGCCTGTTTATGATTAGACAACTATGGTCATTATTTTTAGTTGAACTTTCCAAACGACATATAGTAACGGAGATTTAGGAAAAGGTGTCAATCCATAACCTGTCACACATAAGAGTTTAATATTTTGTAATGCCTTTACAAATTTGTCTTACGGAAAACATGTCATATTTTTAACTTCACTAGTATATTCGTGGGTAGGCCTACGTAATATTCTGCGAATTCCTGCCATTCAATAATACATTCTGGGAGGCAATATTGAGATGGAATAAAAACTCCAATCCCATCCGTGCCTCGGGGTAAGTGAGAAAAGCCCGGGAAAATCGTTGAGACTTTGCGTAGGATGCTTGGTTATTTTGGATTTACAATGCCATAAGTTCTTTATAAGCTAGCAGAATATTCATTAGCTTTAATAATTCTATTGGAGCATTACTTCATAATCTACTAGTTTTGCTGTTTTTAGCTTGTGCTATTTAAGCTAGAAACCATTAACAGAAAATATCATAAAATGACAAAAAATATTAGCAGCTTTCAGCTAATCAGTTATGCCATCACCAAAATTAATGTCAACGAGAAATGTTGGACGAACATGTTTCTAGTTCGTTTTAAACTTTTCATTTCGAGTTCTAAGAAGGATTTATTTCTTCAGTAGATAAAGTATAGACTATAAAAATTGGAAACTTCTTAATTATGATTTCCAATAAAAATTAGAATATAACAAATAAGTGCTTAACTTCATAAATTGTAACTTGTTTTAAAGGTTAAAAGTGTTATGATGCTAGGAAAGAACAACTATTAAGCTCACGTACAAACGAGGTTTTACATACTCTTAATTTGTCAATCAATAAAATAAATTTTTAATTAATTATTTAATTTTTAACAATCAATAAAATTAGCGGTTATAGGAACTGAATTAATATTTTATTTGATATGTAAATATTATAAATTAACAGAATCGTTATCAAAGAAGCATTAACAAATGTTTACTACCCAAACGAACAGGTATAGATTCTAGTTTAGTTCAACTAAGTTTTTAAGACGCATTAAGAATAAAATGGGTTAAATGAAATTTAACTGCTTTTAATCGCCAAATGTAATACCTAAACCCCTTTTTTATGTACTTGTGCAGATTATTGTTATGTATAGTACGTAGCTAAACAACCCAATAGTGTCAATTTAGGGTAGGCCAATGGCAATGTCGTATCTATTGATCCATGAGATTATACCACTATCTGTACAATTTGGGCTTCAGCCAACACGCCAAGTGGTAGTCGTTGCCCTAATAGCTCCTTCAACCCACAAGTAATAGATTCCCTAGGTTTTATTTTTCTAATCCTTTTCTTTGTGCGATTTGTATCCATGTGTATTGTGTATGCACATATATAGATATAACAGTAGTTTAAACAATTACGAAAAAATGTTCTGTTATATTACGGAGAGGCAAATATCATGGACAGATTGAAAATGTGTCTAAACAATTTAAAAACCCGTATTTCAATTTATGAAATAAGTGAGCCAAGTCAACAATATTTCAGCTACACACAAAGTAAGAAATTGTTTAAAGGGATTTCTCGTATCAGAAATTATTTCGAATCAACACACATTATTCAGGTATTTGAGTAAATGTAACATTATTAATGTTGAATTGACGTAAATTAAATACACTATACAACTAATACACTGAAAAATACAATACAAGTTGAGTAGATATTTTATCTATATCTGGTATCAATAGAAAAACGTATCCTATTAAACAAATTATCCTTATAATCACTAATTACTAATAAGTCACTGAAGTATAGTCAAAAATTTTGTTTAAGATAAATGTGAGGAATTTATCAAAGTAGCTACGTTAAAACATCGTTATATTAGTGATAGGTTACTAATAGGTGTATTTTTAGAGAATAATTTTGAAAAAATAATATTGTACTTAAAAATTGTAATTGATAATATTTAATGTAGTATATCATTATATTAGAAAAGTTAATTATTTGTTGTTTAAGAATTGGTGTTTTGTTTAAAATGTCTTGTAACCTGTAAATATGTACAAAAATCCTTTAAAAGAATTAACAGAATTACATTTATCAATGAGATGTTACGATCCCCAAATTTATCTCTATCATCTAATTGGCTGTAAAAAAGGATAAAGTTACGATTAAGTAAATATTCGCCCTAAGCTCAAACGTATTCAAAGATATAAAACAGAGATGGCTCGATGCTACGTCCTGGCAGTTCACCAAAACCAGAATTCCAGCTCCAAAACATAACATAACATTGGGCAGACTGATCTGGGTTTTGTCAAAACACGGTTGTATTTCCTTTTGTGGAAATGTGAAATAAAAGTTCTTTATAAATAGCATCAACCTAATCTTTACAACATTAGATTTTTGTCATGCTATATGTTTCAGATATAAATTAGTGCTTTTATTGGACACGAATACAATAATCATTAATCCAACGTTTCTCTATGTAACACAATTTAATAGAAAATAGTATTGCATAAAAACTTTGGTTAAACAATTTTTTAGTATAAATTCAATATTACCGTTAATTGGCGATGTGTATACAGTTAAATTTGGCATGATATGGGTAATGAAAAACTTATTTAAAA